TGAGCGTATGCCGTACAGGAAAATAGTTGCGATGCAACAATAGAGGGCCAAACGACTCTCCATGTTGCGATCGACAGGAGGCTGTTGAAAGTAGTGATATATAAACAAGAGCAGCTAGGTTTCATACTTCATACCCTAACAGCCTGCGTTGCGATCGCCCGAAGTGCAGTGGTGGCAGCGAACTGTGTAGTTACGTCGCGCGGGGGGGAGATCTCTCGAGAAGGCGTGGCTCATTGGACAGCGCGACATGCGCATGCGCAGTGTCTGTCGTACGCTCGCGCGCGGATGGCCGTCTGAAATTATGCGCTCTACAGCTGGCTTGAACATTTGTATGCTCATACTTTTGCCTATTATGCTATGCTTCAGTACTCAAATAATTCCATAATTCTCTACACATGTATATACTATATACCTACTATGCTCAACATAATATCACAGCATGAGTGAGCACGCAGCTGTAAATTCGGGCTAGCGCGCACAAAGACAAAGAAATCCCCGTGTGCAGAAGCGAATCCGTGGACCGAGAAACCAGGCTCTACGCAACAGGTGCAAAAAAATCACCCTGTCTCTTTCTCTCCTGGCTCACGCTAAACCTACGCAATTGTAACTAAGCACTAAAATTACGTATTATGCTCGCATTACTGCTTGATGATTTTGCCTACCTACTCGTTACGCGCTTCTTTTTATTATTATACACTTTTTTTCACACACGCTACCTCGCAGTATGCGCCCATCGATCTAGCAAGCGAGAGAACTCTCCTCCATTCGACGGCATGCGCTGCTCTTAGGTGACTGTATATACCTCTTCCCAATCTTCATGGTTCGAAGGTGCAACTTCCTAATATGCTAGGCTTACTCGTGCAGATACTGCTGCATGCCTGCTGCCTGGTGGACCACGAGCTGAAAGCATGAGGTAAGCACCGTTCTGCTCACCTGCTCACCGTTCTGTCAATATACTAGACAATTATCTACCTAGCTGTCGCCGTTGCATGCGTATCGAGCTGAACGGCGACAGGTAGATCTGTCTTGCTTAGCGAAAGGAAAGCTCTGCGCTGACGGCACGTTATGCAGCCCGAACATTGCGGCCAAATCCCGAGTTGGGTCGCTCCCGCTCGCCAACAATGTTCAACATTTTTGGCGAGAGGGAGAGACCCAACTTGGGATTTCCCCGCGATTTTCAGGCTGCATAACAAGACAGATGCGTCGAATGGACGGGCTGGTTAGATCGATCGGCGCATATCGATAACCAGGAGAGTAAGTATATTTGGTTCTCTATGGTGTGGAGGAGTGCCGTCCTGGTGTATCTAGATCAGCCCGTCAAGAATCTGACCTTTCCAGTGTTGTAACGGTGTTTTCTGCCCTTGATAGTTCTATCCAACCCCAGTCCATAAGGGATTGCTACAGATTAGGAACGTTTTCCCCTGGTGCATCCCACCCTAGACCAATCCTCGTCAAATTTGTCAGAACAGCGGATTTTACAAATATTTGCAAAAAGGAAAAGTCTGTCTATCCCCTTCTCTATCAAACCCACCCATGTTAAAGGAAATGTGCTAGATCTCGTTTTTACATCTATAAGTGTTGTTTTAAATGATCTAATAGTACACCCCCTATCTGTTTTGACTGCTCTGATCATTATGCTGTAAGCTTTAATATCTGTTGTAATGTTTCATCTGCAGCCGAATGTTCACCTGGTTATGTTTTTGATTTTTGTAAAGCCGACTATGAGAGCATTTCTTCTTACTTATTAGAGTCTGATTTCAGTATTGTGTTCGACAGCTCCAACATTGAATTCATTTGGTTTTGTATCAAGTCTTTCATTTATAAAGCCATGTTGTTATACATTCCAACGAAACTAGTTAAGCGGTCGATCTCCTCTGAAGTAAATGGGGTGTCCAGGACAAAGTCTTCATTCTCCCTTGAGCTGTGCACGAGATGAACCAATTGCTGTTCCGCCTCCAGGAGTAGAGGAGAGTGGTCTTGCATTGGGCATCCACTGATTCTTTTGAAGTGGTCCTCCCAGGCATTAAGTATGGTAGGAAGATCAGAGCCAGACGAAGTGTTGAGCCATGGTTAGTAGACTGTGATGTTCTAAAGCGGTTGGAACATTTCTGTTTGAATTTCTGATCAATTTTCTGAAGTTTAACTCTCTCAGCGTTTGCAGCGCAGATGTTCATCCTCTTTCTGAACTCGGTGCGAGACCTGATCTTCTCATCATAGAGAGGACCTGCTTGTGGGCGTCCGCTAGAAGACCATTTATCCCAAGTAACTTTCTTACGTGCTGCAAGGAGAGAGAGTTCCGGATCTTTAAACCACTTTTTCTTCTTTGTTGTTGGTGACAAGGTGGGCAAGGCTTGGCGGGCTGCCTGGACCAGCTGCGGGGAAACAAAGATGATTTCATTGTCTAGTTGTTTTGGAGAATCGTACATTCTTCCTAGCAGTGGATGGACTACTGACGACACTATGATAGGCACCCACACACCCTGTATTACGAGCTTTGAGTCGATCATCTGATCCTGCAGTGAATGATGGAGTCCGCGACTCTCTACAGGGATTTGGAGAACAGTAGAGATTGGAAGATGATCATAAGTGTTAAGGGGTGAAAGTTCATGTGTAAAACAGCTGTGTATAAATTGTGAGGCCTGCAGACAACCGATTATGTAGTCCACCAAGGTTGGAGTTAGGGAATTCCAAAAGGTATACACTGATGCTGGAGAGAAAGATTACATAGAAATCACATCGATTAACAAGCTGCTGTAACAAAACACCTGCTGGTTAGGGGTGCCTAGTCCCCTGGAGGACCCAGGGGAGCATTGAAGTCCCTGGCAATCAGGACAGTACCATGACTTGAACTAGTGGATGTATATAAGCTGCTCTAGTTCAAGTAGGGCACTACAGTAACCATCCATACCCTGGTCGGCACATGGGAGATACACCCCAAGTACTGTGATGCACGACGGTTCAGGTGAAGTCAAATCAACCCTTATACCGCATATGCGATCACTTGATATGTTGGAGATTGGAGAGATGTTGAGCGACTTCTGAAACATAACCCCCACCCCACCACAACCTCTAACCAGATCAGACTTCCCATTTAGTCTAAAATCTGTGGAACATTCGGCAGCAAAGGCACCACTAAGCCGTTTAGCTTCATACGGCCAGAGTCAGTGCTCGGTGACAACAATAATATCCGAGCCATCTTCGGCCAGCTGATGGATGTATGGCTCGCCAGTGGCAAAACCACGGCAATTCAACGTAGTGAGTTTGAGTTTGTGGTGTTCGCGCACAGGGCTTTGTCAGGTGTGTTGTTGATTGTGGTCAGAAGCCATGTATGTTGTACTGCCTGTTGATTGTTTTGCCTTGAAGACACGAACAATAACTCGATCTTTGCTAAGAGACAGGGCAGTGTGCAGATGACATTTTTGAACTTTCACCTTTAGAACCATCACCGGCGATTCACGAATGATAATGTTTAGTTGAGGATTGGACACTGAAGTAAATTCTCAACTTCCGACTGCCGTATGGACAAGCCAGTAAATGCAGACAATTTCACAAACAAGAGGCATGAATCAGTGGTGGCAGACTGAGTAGACTTACATTTTAAAAACATTAGATCGGGTTGGATGTCGGTTACCTCTTTCTTGAGGTGGGTAATGTCGCTCTGCAATATAATAGAGCACAGTCACCATTACATCCATACTGGTCCCGGAGTTAAGTTCCGGCGGCTTGTTCAGCGGCTGCAGATGACAGTACATGAGGAGATGGCGCGGTGGCGGACACAGAGGGTCGCCGCTCGGGAGCGGAGTTATACGCTGGGGCTGAACGCTTCCCATTCTTTAAGAGGACACGAGGGAGATTCTGACAATTCTTGATGCAGTAAACGATATTGGCGTCGTCGTCGGCGTACTTCTTGCTCAGGGGGGATTCGACAGCTCTCTTCAGTCGCCGTACCAGAACGTCTTTGCTGTTCACTAGACCGGCGCATATCGCCTCCTCGAAGAGACGTAACGGGATATCAGCCAGCTCGACTTCAGAGTTGCACGCTGCAGAAAGTAGGACAACTGTTCTCTCGGGAGCTCTAGGTCGACACGGGCACGATTCAACACGTCCATTCAGAGCTGTGGTCACTCCAGCACTTATTCCCTACAAATAAAAATTACGTCAGTGATGTACTGTAGATTAGTGTAAGGCACCTGAAGTTGTTTGGTCACAGAGTTTGCCACCAAGATGAACACCCCAATTAGTGATGCAATGGAGAGGAAGAAACTAAAACCAACTATGAACTGGACGAAGTTGAGAGTCCAAACGTACATTATCTATGTATGTATCAATATCCGTGAACTACAGCTGCCCCAGCAATGGTCTATCTACTGAGAGGAGGTACAGTACCGTTGAAACGATGGTGGCGGACTCACCGGAGTGGTGTGGGGCAGTGTGGAGAGAGCAGTGGAGTGTGGAGCAGAGTACAGTTGGAATCAACAGACAACCCAGAGCTATCCCCTGCCCATCTGTCTGCCTGGAGAGAGAGAGAGAGACGTAAAGAAACACATGTTTATGTGGTATATACTTGGAGTTCAAGACTTTGTCTAACAACATTAACAGTAATGCTGTGACGCCACGGGGCTGATGAGGATTTTTCATTTCTAATAAGAATGTACATATGTACAGAAGCTTGACGTTCAGATCTCTACACAGGATAGCTGCTCACCTGAGGCGGAGGTGAGAGAGGCGAGATGGGAAATAGTCCAACCACGTCGACAGAATCACCACCAGAAGTGCCACTGATGAAGAGAGAAATTAGAAATGAAGCACACCATTCATTTGTCCCACTGATGTCTTTTCTTCTGCCCCACTGCATACGTACAGTTCAATATCTCCCCTCACCAGCGACAAGGGAGAACACACTCCACGGAGTTTTCTCACTCTCCAGGTTGTCGTAAAAGAGAACTCTGAAGGCCACTCCACACGCAGCCACCACTGCCAACCTCATCTCCACCATCCTGTGGGTCTTCCCCTCCATCTTCCTCACAAATCCCTTCAACCCTCCCCCTCCCTCCCCGTTCTCCCTCGGGGGTAAAAACCGTTGTTTCATACTCAAGTTGTTTGAGGTGTCACAACAGTGAAAGACGGAGATTTCTTTATGAAGGAGCAACAAGCCCTCCTAAGAATTTCACCATAGCTGAAGTACACTGAACCTTTCTTCATGAAATTCTGTGTAGAATCTCTAATACGGGAATGAAATTCTGACGACAAGTGAGATATGGAGTGCTACACTTTTTATCTTGCATGTGTATTGTCAAGTAGTGCAGATGCGTCGGTAAATAAAATTTAAAAAACCAAAAACACAAATGAGATGTGTGAGTACTGTATACACATTGAATTGCAATGGTTGTCAGGCTCTAACTTTTGAATGCAGGGTTTTTATGTTTTCGCAAAATCAAGCCAGTGCAGCGCTGATCCCATTGGTGTAGCTATTTTGCTGGGTCGTAGCACGTGGCGGCAGAAAACGTGGTACAGACAGACGGACACACACACACTTAAAACAGTCCGAGGATTTATAAACGGAGTAGGCTTTTTTGCTAATTACCACTTGAAGGTGAGCTGAACGCTTCCCATTCTTCAAGAGGACACGAGGGAGATTCTGACAATTCTTGATGCAGTAAACGATATTGGCGACGTCGTCGGCGTACTTCTTGCTCAGGGGGGATTCGACAGCTCTCTTCAGTCGCCGTACCAGAACGTCTTTGCTGTTCACTAGACCGGCGCATATCGCCTCCTCGAAGAGACGTAACGGGATATCAGCCAGCTCGACTTCAGAGTTGCACGCTGCAGAAAGTAGGACAACTGTTCTCTCGGGAGCTCTAGGTCGACACGGGCACGATTCAACACGTCCATTCAGAGCTGTGGTCACTCCAGCACTTATTCCCTACAAATAAAAATTACGTCAGTGATGTACTGTAGATTAGTGTAAGGCACCTGAAGTTGTTTGGTCACAGAGTTTGCCACCAAGATGAACACCCCAATATACATTAGTGATGCAGTGGAGAGGAAGAAACTAAAACCAACTATGAACTGGACGAAGTTGAGAGTGTGTCTAGGACTCCTACAGATTGGCTGGCAGTCACTGCAGTGTTTGCCAGTCACTAGGGAGTTGGGTATCCAGTGACAGTGTTCCCCTGCAGACTCACACCTGTTGACTGCCATCTGGTACACCTCTCCCTCCACTACTGCAGACTTTGGACACTCACGAGCGCGGAAGAAGGCAGGCTATGCCAGGCTAGGTCGGTAGACAATGGCCACTTTCGCGGTAGGCACCATCTCAGATTCTGAGATGTTAGACTCTCCTAGCTCTAGTCTGTACTGGTCGGCCAGTTGTAGATGGTGGAACAGACTGTGCTCTGTGCAGGGATCGCTGCCAATGGCCTGCCAGTCTGTCATTATCAGCAGTGATGTGATCGTACATGTCAATCCCACCACTGTCATACCATAGCCATCGACCTTGAAATACTGAAGTGTGTAACTGCAATGTATATAATGATATAAAAATGGAAACCGAACTAGCCTAAGAACCAAGGTCTTTCACTCGCATAAGTTTAATGGATTCCGAGGCCTTTGTTTCCTTTCCCCCGCCCCAGGCCGTGCATATGCCTACACCGTAGCATGCGACTCCTTGAGGTGTCACGCAAAATTTAAGGTGTTTCCTTCAATAGCTACCTGTAGCTGAGCAAGGGTAGGAACCTCGAGCACATACCTACCAACCTGCAGATCAACCCTTGCTTAAGAATGTGTCCATTCAAAATGTATAGGCATGGTGCATCATAGGTAAGCACAAACAGAGGGATATGGCAATTTTCTGGTGGGAGAGGCAGTACTTTTGCTTGATTATCAAGCAAAAAGCTGGATGGTTGATAAGTATGCTAGCACGACACATGCGGTTTCGGTACGAGAAGGCCAGCGAACACGAGTATTCCGATTACACTATATGTGCAGTGCCTGTCACAGAGCCTGTTGACTAAGTTAGCTCGCTTTTCTTGCCAATTAACTGTGTGTGGAAACACTTCGTCAGTTGCCAACAAAGGTAGACTACTTCCACACCCCAAAATTACACTCAAACGCATTTTTTGGGAGTGGAAACATTTCGGTATGTTGGTATGTACAGTGACAGTGCCCAAGTAAGAAAAATCTCACATTGAGACGACAAGGAGGCTAGCTTCGCTAGTCAATTAGCTATAGTTGTACCCACAGTAATGTTGTTCCAATAGGAGCACTGAAGACCATGATAAGCAGAAAGAGTGAAGTTTTCTCATCAGAAAACCCAAATGAATCACTCAGGATTGGATTCACTAAGGCAAAACATAACGTACTCCTTTCACTACTCCAACAAATATCACATAAAGTGGTACCTTGTACAAAACAGCAAGTTAAGGGAAATTCTTCCTGTGAACATGATTACCTTAATGAATTCAGTAACTGACAGAAAGTGACATGTCTTTCAGGACTTATTATTAATAGCAGAATGGGCTAAGCACAACTTTAGCTAATGTGTGGATACAAATACCTGACAGAAAGTAACATTTTTCTTAGACCAGCGTCCTTTAATAGACAGCTTTTTCTTTGAGTGACCTCTTGAGCAGTGCCAGGTACTCTCTCCGTGGAAGAGAAGAAACTGTAGCAGTAGCAGTGCTACACCCAACAGCTACACAAAACCACGCAGGTGGTGAACTGAGGAGTATTTGGAAACTCATTGTCACTGTCATTGTCCCAACATTTTCGAAAAGACATAATGTTTTACTTTTCTACTCACATCCGCACTCAAAGTACTGTGCAGCATAAGTATATCTGTTCCACGTGTCAATCACACACCAGTACACCCCTTTAGTGGGGGTTTGACCATAGTTCCTCTTCAGTTTCACGACGCCAACTACCTGCCCACTAGGTGAGAACCAGTCTCCTACATAGTCTTTGGCACTCTCAGTTGTCCCAATTACATTGATAACCACATAACTATTATTAGGGATAACTATTATTAGTGGTGGTTTCATGGGCAAATTCAGACTACAATGTTAGCTAACAAGCTGGGCCACAAGCAATTGAAAATGGAGGGGCTCTCTATAGCTATTGTAGCCTATATACCCCAATTCCAATGTGCACTGTGCTGGCACTGTGCTGTCAGGCAGGTATGTAGCCCTTCAAGAGTTAGAACAAAGACTTCGTCATTTAACTGCGCTGTTATTAAAAACGGCCGTTTGAAATACTCAAATCTGATTGGTCAACTGATGGGAGAAAGCTAGTCCACGTCGTTAACCCTCGGCGCGCATGCGCAGCGAGGGTTACAGTACTTGGTTCGTAAGTGTCTGTCTGTCTGTCTGTCTGTCTGTCTGTCTGTCTATCTGTCTGTTACCAGACTACGGTTTCGTCGCTACACTGGCTTCATTTAAAAACACATATAACTACTGCGTTCAAAAGTTATGGCAAGTGAACAACTTACAAACCACGGGTCCGCTTGCTCTGTGCTTCTTGAAGGCACAAGAAGTCACAACGAAAGGAGTGTATCGACTCCCGCATGCTATTTACTACTGTAGCTAGTCCTATCCTAGCAGGAGACCACGAGTAAACGCAAGCCCAGCCCATCAATTAGTGGTACCGCGGATGCGCAGTTCGCCGAGGGTGTTGAGGAGGAACGCTAAGCAGACTAACATTGTGCATAGAAAATTCTTACAAGACAAAGAGTGTGAATGTAACACACTATCTATTGCTGTTTTTTGTCATCATTAGTCAAGTGGTCTTATCAGCTTCCTCCTCTGCCTGTTCCTGATTGTCTTGAGAGTAGTCAATCTTACGACTCCCTGCCAGCCAGGGATAGAGGAGGAACAATCCAATCAGTAATGGCAGGAACACTCCCACTTGAATCAGCATCACCAGGTAAGTCCGCTTCTGTACATGCTCGTACACAACATCCACTGCAATAAACAACAGTTATAGTATCATAACTTGATGAAGCCAGCTTACTTATCAATGGAACAACACCTCTCGCTGCTCCCATCAGAGCTGTGGTCACTCCAACACTTATTCCCTACAAACACAAAAACACATCAGTGATGTATATATTCCATAGTTTCTGTGGGTTAGTGCTAGGCACACCTGGAATTGTTTGCTCACAGAGTTAGACACCAAGATGAATATCCCAACGTACATTAGTGATAGAGTTGAGACAAAGAAACTAAAACCAACAGTGAACTGGACAAAGTTAAGAGTGTGTCTAGGACTCCTGCAGATTGGCTGGCAGTCACTGCAGTGTTTGCCAGTCACTAGGGAGTTGGGTATCCAGTGACAGTGTTCCTCTGCAGACTCACACCTATTGACTGCCATCTGGTACACCTCTCCCTCCACCACCAGCAGACTCTGGACACTCACCATCCCAGACTCTGAGATGTTAGACTCTGCTAGCTCTAGTCTGTACTGGTCGGCCAGTTGTGGATGGTGGAACAGACTGTGCTCTGTGCAGGGATCACTGCCAATGGCCTGCCAGTCTGTCATTATCAGCAGTGATGTGATCGTGCATATCAGTCCAACTACTGTCAGACCATAGCCTTTGACCTTGAAATACTGAAGTGTGTAACTGCAATATATATAATGATATAAAAATGGTAACCGAACTAGCCTAAACCCAACTAGGCTAAGATATATTCCTAGGCCTTGGTTCAGCCCCCGACATCATGCATGTTAACTGAATTTCAGGCCTTGTTTCCTTCAATAGCTGAGCGTGGGTAGCTAGCTATAGTAACGATCAGGTCAGGCGAGTGTGAGCGTGTTGGAGCACGACACACGTAGTTCGGCACGAGAAGGCCAGTGAACGCGAGTATTCTCATTACCGTAGCTATGTGCAGTGCCTGTCATAGAGCCCATTGACTAGGTTTGCTCGCCAATTAGCTGTATGTGTAGCAATGCTTCGCCAGTTGCCAACTCTCCAATTATATTCAAACGCATTTTTGGCGAGCGAATGCAAGTGGAAACATTTTGGTATGTGCAGTGGCAGTGCCCAAGTAAGAAAAATCCCACATTGAGGCGACTAGGATGTTCGCTTCGCTAGTCAATCAGCTAGTTGCACTCACAGTAATGCTGTTCCAATAGGGTTGCACAAGATAATCAAAAGGAAAAAGAGTGAAATTTTCTCATCAGAGAACCCAAATGAATCACTTAGGATTGGATTCACCAAGACCTCAGGCATAACGTAACGTACTCCTTTCACCCCACCAACAAATATGACATAAAGTGGTACCTTGTGTAGCATAGCAAGTTAAGGAAAATTCTTCCTGTGAAAATGATTACCTTAATGAATTCAGTAACTGACAGAAAGTGACATGTTTCCAGGAGATGGTACTTGAAAATATATGTATAGCATTAAGCATAGCTGTTATATTATAGTTATACACCTTCCCATAGCTACTTTGTGGATACAAATACCTGACAGAAAGTAACGTTTTTCTTAGACCCGCATCCTTTAATAGACAGCTTTTTCATTGAGTAGTTTCTGGAGCAGTGCCAGGTACTCTCTCCGTGGAAGAGAAGAAACTGTAGCAGTAACAGTGCTACACCAGCAGCTACACAGAACCACGCAGGTGGTCTGAACTGAGGAGTATTTGGAAACTGTGCCAGGATTACTGGGAAACCTAGGAAATGTAATGGACATTGATCATGTGGCATGCACTGGCTTATAAGGTGAGTGCAGTAGTAGATATGATAGACATATAAGGGATGTGTAAAATACAGAACCAGGGAGTATTGGACAAGGAATGGCTGAAGGTGGAAAATGTCTGCAACATATCAACTAGCTTCTGTGCATGATGAACACTTTACCAATTGCATTTGCAAATCCCAGCGAATTTCCGATAAAGAACAAGCTGAAAACATATCCTTTTACTCTCTCTGCCTTATTCTTCTCATATTTTCCAAGTATCTTCAGATTTTCAGTGTACTTCTCAAAGCTCACAGAGCAGTAGGCGAACACTAGGGATGTATTAGTACCCAGTTGCAGACCAGTCAGTCCACGAGCCAGCATCATCATCCAGCCATTGGTGGCCAGTGCATACATGAGGTAGCCCAGAGTATGAGAGAGTGTGGAGAACATGAACAGGTACCAGGTTGGTACGTGGTTGAAGAGAAGTCCAGTACAAACTGCTGATATGGTATAGGTAGAAAACAGTACCACATAGGTGAGGGAGTAGAAGGTTTCACTCTGTTCCAAACCAGGCTCTATGTTCTGGAGGGCCCCAGAAAGGAATATTGTGACATAATAACATACAACCAACACCAATTTGACTTTACTGTAGCTACCCACTGAGATATGCTTCTTGTAGAAATCAAAGTTTTTGCTAGTAACTTGTTCCCAGCAAAAAATACTTAGAGCAGCATTGCCTTGCACATAAAACAACTACATGGCCTAGGTTTTAGCTATCACAGGAAGCCACAGGCTTTGGCGGATGTCGTGCAGGAGTGGCAGTCTCCAACCCCTCCACTTGTGCCACAAATGGAAACCTTTGCCCCATGCACTGCCACGATATTGAAGGGGTGGAGTAATGCATGTCTCAACAACTTGGAAACAAGGAAAGGCAAGGCAAGGCAAGGCAAACAAGCCAACTACACCCAGGACAGAAGAAGGTGGGGTTCAAACCCACGACACTCTGCAGTCTAGCGCTCTACCAACTGAGCTACCAGGGCAACTCAGCTGGTAGGGGTTCAAATCTATGACGCAACACTTTGTATGGCTTTCTGTGTGCATACACGCTGGTTGGGAAGACTCATAATCCACTCAAACCAGGCTCCTATTAACAATGTGTCCTTCATGTAAGTTACCTCGTTTGTAATATTGAGAGTCTTGGTGGTGGGGTTGATGATGAACTGGTGATTGGTGGGTATGACACACATGTAACTGATACCCCTCACTGCAGAGGCCAAGACTAGAAACAGCCAGTTTAATTTCAACCGAAGATTATCTTTCTTTGCTACAGGCCATCATAATCATTATAGCAACACATTTCATATTATCACACTACCTTTTACATACTCCGGCTCCTGTCCGTCTTTACCAAGGTAGACGCAGGGTAGCAAGGCCAGCCAATTCTTCATTGCCACAAGTCACAGGTAACCCTTTTTGCTGCAACACCCAGGGTCAATAGATGGCTATATACAGGGCTTCTGTAGTCGGCAACCGCGATTCTTCACTGTTGATAGTAGCGATGGGTAGTGTGCGTTCATTCATTAGCACGTAGCCCCGACTTCTAACTTCCTCTGGCCCATATTGTGCGGTCAATCGCGCGATAACTTCCTGGCGTTCGCGGCTACGCATAATTTCAGACGGAACTTTGATCCTCCTCCGCGCGCGAGCGTACGACGGCAACTGCGACGGCAACTGCGTATGTGTTTGTCGCGCTGTCCAATGAGATTCATTCTCGAGCCCGTGTTGTGCAATGATGTTGCAAAAATAGTAGCTGCCTGTTGTGCAATGCATGATGAATTAGTCCAAAATAGTCTACCCTTAGACCGTCTGGGCTTACCGCGACCTGATTCGCTCGCTCCTGTGTACCGTGGTGGCTCAGGAAGTCACAACCAATGGCGTGTATCGACTCCCACATGCTATCTACTACTGTAGCTAGCCAGTGTCAGACTCTCCGCGAGCTATAATACTAGCGGGAGACCACGGAGTAAACGCATGAATAGCCCAGCCCATCAATTAGCAGTATCGCGCGCATGCGCAGTTCGCCGAGGGTTTGCACTTTAGTGCTTTTCATTATAGAAGTGTGAAGAATGGCTTTGATTCTGACCAACAATATAATATAGGTATAGAGCAATGTGCATGCCCATACAATAGTGTGTGCTGGTTTGCATCAGAGAAAACTTAAGTCTATCCTATATAATATAGCCTACTTTCACTTTTTGAACCTGATCACGCTGCACGCACATGCAATAACCAGTTGGACGTTGCGTTACATGTCACATCATATAGTTCGCTGTTGGATGAGGATCAAGCTCACTAAGAGAGGAGTTTTTCCACACTTGTGTGTGTTTGTATTATCCCTGAGTGGTGAGTTGTGCAGATTCTCCTAGTTCAGGTGAACTTGTGCAACTTGTTGCTAGATAGGAGATTTCCACAATCAGGTATGTTTGCACCTCAGTGGTTACAGTGTAGGTAATCTCCAATCCACGCTTGGATGTACCATGCATGTCCAACAGCATCGAACGAAGGGCTGACTGTCACATTAAGCTCTCTTATAGAACTTTGCATAGTGCTCTACTGAAATATACAGAAAATATGTTCTCTCACCTCAGGATAGCTACTGCAAAGATTACATTCAATGAGGGTTAAGAAGCCAGTAGCAGAGCTATAATGTTTTGCCCAAAAGTTGGCAGGCACACAAACATGCACATATTAGTCAAAATGTGAAGAATGGCTTTGATTGAAACGAGTTGTTGCTAGGAGATTTCCACAATTGGGTATGTTTGCAGTGTATATAGGAAATCTCCACTCCACGCTTGGATGTACCATGCATGTCCAACAGCATCCAATGAAGGGCTGACTGTCACTAAGCTCTCTTATAGAACTTTGCGTAGTGCTCTACTGATACAGCAGAATGTGTTCTCTGGATATCTTACCTCAGCATAGCTATATACTGCAAAGATTACAGCCAATGAGGGTTAAGAAACCAGTAGTTATGCTTTAATCATTTTTTGGGCCAAAAATTGGCAGACGCACAAACATGCACTTATTAGTCAAAGTGGAGATATGAACTACATGGCTTTGTGAGCTTGTGAGCTTCTACCTCAAACATGCATAATGTGTGCACGTGGATAGGAGGTGCACCATAGAATTCTATCCACATGATACGTAGCTACCTCCCTCCATAGCCTTCTTTCCGTTTTGAACCAAAGAAACATGCAGGTTCAGTGCTTGCTTACCAGTAGCAAGTATCTAACATCATAAGGTCAAATATAATATTATAGCACACTTTTTAAAAGATTTGGCATGATCTAAGCAATGCTCATTTGGTATAGGTGATAGCTACTTGACTGAATACATCAAACTGTGAGAAGGGTAGTATCTCCATACAACAGATCAGATAATAATAGTGAGCAACTCCATTCCCCACATCATTTCCTTTCCTTACTCACACTACTATAGCTATAGGCTAGCAGCCCTGGTGTTTTACAATACATCACCAACATACCGAGTGCAGCATTGATGGTCGACTTCCGGTTCTTGCGCGCCGCCGCGCCAAAACGACTACGCACAGCCGTGAAATTGGCAACGTTCGAAAGTTAGTCCAATCTCTATAAAAACTCATAAACAGTGAGTTTTTGTACAGCGCGCACAACGCGCACTTCCTGTTCGACTGAGTAATCAGAATCAATCGGCAGCGAGTGTTGTCCAAGTTTTACCTTTCAAAAAGTATGAGTCTTCTCGACCAGTCGCAATAATATTATTCGACATTTTTCAGTGCAAAGGAGTATCTTCAGATGTATTACTCCGATCAGGAAAAGGACTGGCTTATCAACTTTCGAGCAAAGCTCTTTAATGAATTATTCATGAAATACAGCCCCAAATGGGATAGAAAGAATGCAAGATTGCTAGATTTCAGTGGGGGTCCAGTAATACTAAACTACATCAGTGCAGCACCGCATGTCAATGAAATTGTTCATTCTGCTTACAAAGAAGATGAACGAAAGGAAATTGAATTGTGGAAGAATGATAATAAAGACGCCCATGATTGGAGCCCCTATGTCAAGTATGTTGTGAACGAGATTGAAGGTTTGAAAGGAGATGCCGCGTGGCAGGAGAGAGTAGCATTGCTGCGTTCAAAGATCAAAGTTGCGAGCTGCAATGTTTACGATGAGCACCCAATAACTCCAGCTGAAGACTCATTTTCGATCATATGCACAAGTTTAGCCCTTGAGTCAGCTTGTAAAACCTTCGACGATTTCAAAGCCGGTGTAAAGAAGTTAGTGCAATTGCTGAGGCTAGGCGGTTACATTTCTATCCTCTTTGTAGAGGAAGAAACCTTCTACTCTACAAAAGAAGGTAAATGGGCTGTCCTGCAACTTTCCCTTCCACAAGTGCAAGAGGCTGTCGAGGAAGCTAGTTGTGTTGTGCTTATGACTGAACGTGACCCAATGCCTATAGAGTCACTTGAAAACCCAATCCTCTTTGATCAAAAGGCTTTTATATTTTTAGCAGCATACAAGGTGAAATGACCGCATTTTGTTGTATGACGTGTCTTCTATAATTCTCATTACTGATCGCTTGGCCGCAGCTCATACAGGACTATAAAAAAGAAACAGGAACTGGCATCAACGTAGGTTGGACAGCTCTCAAACCCAGTGGCCAGAATGAGCAGGGTGGAACGATGCCGGGGTGGATGCAAGCAAAAGAAGCTAGTGCCCGACGAATGTGCCCAAAAAAACATATCCAGCAACGTTAGTTGTACCCTAAAATAAGTAGCCAGAACCGCTCCCTTGTCCCTTGAACACTTTCAATTGCATAGATTATAATTAGCGAAAAATTGTAGCGGGCGTCGTTAGACGGTAGCTGCGTGCATAGATGCTAGGCAGCGCCGCTGAGCATAGACACTACGCCCGTCGTTCAGAACAGAACTCACGCGGATGCGCAGCGCCATATCTGCGGTCCGAGCGAAATAACTTCGACACCCTTATTCAGGCCTAAGTGTGCTTGACATAGTGCCACAAAATACACTTTGCAGCGCACTTCCAGGATTCTGCTAAATTACTAGCCTCGTTCCCAGTCGGAGGAGCCGTTGGGCATACCGGATAACTTTGAATATTGTCCGTTTATTTCCGTATTCTTCCCGCGGTACGATCGTCTTTAGTGAGTTGCGCCGTAGAAGCTCTTATAGGCAGATCTAGAACCACTGTAGGCCGCTAGAGAAGGGTTCCATGTTAGGTTTTCACCTCAGAGGAGCTGAGGCAAACCGATCTACACAGCCTTCTGTGAAAGGCTGCAGACGAGGTAAGCATGCTACCAATCTTTCGCCGTACATTTGGCCATGTTATTAGTTCAAAAATAGACTTGGCAAACGTTCTCTGGAGAATTTTAGCCTGTGCATGTGCGGAATAATATCTCGCGCGTGCGCGAACAGATTGTAGGGTTAAAAATCGATCTTCGGGATCCAAGTCTGTATAACAACAGACTCTAACCTAGAATCACAAGCGCACGATCAAAACTTGTGCTACTCCTTGGCCAGTATATACACCAACGAGCAGGGTCAAAGGTCAAATTGCTGAGGCGCGCGAAAGTCTTCCGGGCGCTTTTTCTGAAGGTTTCGCCGTTTGCCCTTTCCTCTAGCAGTAAGGTGAGTCACATTGAGCACACTGGCTCTAAAGTTTGTATGAAAATGCCTGGCAAGGACGTGGGCGGGTGAAACCTGTTACACATTTGCACCGCCTTACTGCCAGGCAAACGCGGACCGGGACCCTAACGCAATTTTTGTGGTATACTGTGAGTGTAACGTTATGGCACAGAATGTGAACCCAGCCTGTTGTTGCTTGCCATCTGGCTATTGAGAATTGCTCCGTGTGGGTCGTTCATTGTTGTATGACTGAATTTTTCTGCCCTCCAGCAGTTTTTGGCGAGCGAAGCGAGCATGCCTATTCGTATTGGCAGCGAAACAAGTCCCATTTAGTCGTCTGTATGTGGGATATTTACGGTACTGCCACGTAATGTATGTGATTCTAAATTCGCGTGAAAATGGCGAAAATTCAACTGGGCCAAAAATGCAGTACAATATCTGTCTGTTTCTACTGGCAGACAGGCACTGCACACATGTTACGTCATGCACGAAAATGCGACAAATATTGAACTGCTTGCTTTGCTCACTTGGGACGATGTCTTCTCCAAAACCTACTTATGGGGAGCTCATACACATGCTTGAAGCCGCTGAAGGACAAAGCAAGATCAGCGGAGAATCTGAACTCCTTGCTTCATATTTCCATCGTCAATATCCTTTTATTCCAATTGGTCGCCCTAGTCGCTTCCATGACACTGTGCAAAGGATAGCTGCTCCAACCCAGTGCAATACAATGGGGAAGCAGCTTGGTGGCTCACCGTTGCGTTCATACTTAAAGAGAGTGTGGATGCCAAGAATAAGAAATACACATCAAGGTGATAATGAAGTAAAAATTAATTATCTTTATTGGGTATTTAAGTTTGCCTTCTGCCAACAGGTTCCACGCCCTCCTTTCCTTCTGAACTTCAGAAACATGGTTTGACCGAGACCATACTGACAAATACCCTCCTCCAATCCTCACAGGCCAACAGATTACCTGTTGATGTTGACTGGATGTTGAAAGAAACCCCCACTGTTGGTTTTTATAGAGAACTGCATATATTTCTCAAGAAGTGGCCTGTCTCTCGAGCCTTAACTAAAGTTTCTCTAGGAAGATTTTACGTAAGTATCGATCCCCAACTTTACAGCAAAGGCATGTGTGGTCGTCCTGACAATGTTTACCAGTTTATAGAGAGGGTAGTATCATCTGACAGAGATTTATCTGCACCTATGTCATACGGCCACATTGCAACAGTGGAACGCTTATGCAAGGAAAGATGTGTGTGTTCTAATGAAGTAGAAGAACTGTCAACTAAGGTCAAGGAACAGCAGGAAGAAATTACTTTTAATGAAGGGGAGGTTGAAAGGGCCAAAGCAGAGCGGTTAGTGATGCAAAATTTGCACTAAGTGATGTCATGCGCAAGTTGGATATCGCCCAAAAACAACGTGACAGTGCACGTACTAAGGTTCGAAAGTATCAAGAGAAGCATGAGGTTACTGTTGGGGATTTTGTTCACTTTGAAGATGAAATATTGGAGAAAAATGATGAGCTTACAAGACTGGTTAGCAATCTCAAGGCAGAAATTGCAGCTCTATCTTCCTCTAATGTATCCTTACTTGGAAGTAACACTGAGCAGTCTGTCTCCTTTTGTTTTCACACGAAGGATGGTGGTAAAGTTATACGCATGCCATCCGAGAGTTATATCATTGTCTTTTGAGTAATCAAATTCCACCTGGTAAAATTGAAAGCACAATCAAGGCCATTCTCATTTGCTTCTTTCCCTCTTTGAAGCTGGACTCTTTACAGCTGCCAAGCGAATCGTGCGCTTCGTACATGCGGAGGCATGAGCTAACAACTCTAAGCTTAGCCCACAAAGCTACGTCTGTTCTAAAGCAAGCAGAAAGTGGATTTTTACACCTTAACACTGATGGTACCAATAAGTGCCAAAAGAAAATTGAAGGAGCTGTTGTGAATGGAATGGTGTTGTCAGTAAATGAAGTACCAGATGGTAGTGCTGGTAGCATGATTGATGATATTTCCCATCACCGACAGCACACGTAGCTACTCTCTTTCTCTTCTTGAAGGAATGCTCCCCATAAAAGATGTGTGCATGGTCAGTACTTGTGTTCTGGGATAGTGAGGTGCTTTTGGATCAGACCTAAAATAGCAATCCCAAGATTTAACAGGCCAGGGTATCTCCATAGCAGCAGACTGCCTAGTGCATTTTGACAAGTGGAAATATCATTTCTTCAAAATGAAGGGGGATGTAGGGATGGCTTGAAGCACCAAAAAGGAAGAAACAAGGGGTCATTTCACAGCAAAGTTGAACAAAGCTACATGACACCATCCCTATATCTTTGTTCGATATTAAACTTTGCTTAAAAAAAAACAAAGATATATAATTATAGGGATAGTGTCATGTAGCTTTGTGCATCGTTGCTGTGTAATGACCCCTTGTTTCATCCTTTTTGGTGCTTCAAGCCATCCCTATATCCACCTCCATTTTGAAGAAATGATTTTCCCACTTGTTTCCACAAATTTTTAACAGCTTATGACAACACTGCATTTATTGCTACAGTGACTCTGATGTTCATGGGTATGTTGTGGATAGGCTACCATAGACAAACTGAGAGCAGTAGAGCTAATGAGCTGCTAGTGCCTGAAGCCGGGCTAGATCACCTCATGTATTATCTTCAACAAGGATGTGATTAGGTCATTGCACATGGTTGTGGTTTTATGGCCAGGTTTTGGTAATCAGGCTACAACCTGGGGGGACAAACAACGAGGGCCCATTCCGGCGCCCCACAGGGCTGGTGTAACACCGCGCAGACTCTGCCAAGTTGCTCCTCGTGCAAATCAACAGCAAGCTAGCCAGTTGGAAATGTGCACACTTACCTACAGAAGGCACTGGAGGCTGGGTCTGTCAACTCGCCTGCGCGCACAGCGGATTGGACAACGCCCATGCCTGGCGCATGCGCGCAGCTCACTGATGCTGAGTTAGCCAGTGTCGATCGACCATGGAAGAGCTCCATGATCTATGTACCGTAGTGGGTTGCAGCAAGAAGTAACTCATGCTCACCCATTCTACTTTTGGAGGAACCAGACACGACGGGAGTGTCCCCTTGTGGTAGGCACAACGTTGTGCCCCTCCAGAAGGGGGGGTGTACATGTGGCTCAGCCCCGCCCCAAAATTAACGCGGATGCCTGGTCAGAGGTGTCCATAAAAGGTGTAGTATATAGGGGGACGATTTCGGACGATCACGAGTTACCCGATGGATTTGTGAAAAAGACAAAAAGGAGTATTTCCCGACCCTAAAGAGCTGCGTCAATGATGGAGACCACTAACGAGCTGGCCATGACCGCTAACGGGCATGGCGACACGCCGTTATACACCGCATCACGTAGGGGACAACTGGAGGTGCTGCGAACGCTCCTTGCCGAGCACGGCGTGCCGCTGGAGCACACTAACACGGACGGGAAAACGGCGCTGCACGAGGCTGCTCAGGAAGGTCACGTCGATTGCGTACGACTACTCCTGGGCTCCGGAGCGCAGGTCGACAGCCTGAAAAAGGCCGATTGGTGAGCGAGGAGGAAGGCAGTGTGTGAGAGAGGAAGGAAGCACCAGAGCTTATCCTTGGCTGGAATGGTGTTACAATGAAATAAATATAGCTGTAGTCCATAGAAGGCAGTGACAAATGAATAATAACAAGTGGAAAAATCATTTCTTCAAAATGAAGGGGGATGTAGGGATGGTGTAAATTATGAAAAAGGATACCAACAAGAAAGATGCTTCGGCTGAAAACAAAAATCATACATCCATCCCTACATCTTTCTTTCTTCAGCTCTGTCGAAGAATGTGTAGGCACTCAGTTTTGGTGTAGGGTATACTAATTCATAACAAATCACAGTTGAGGTTGTCCCATCCCTCTCTGCGACTTCACCTCTGAACCCTGTCTCATAGGTGGAGGTTAAAGAAAGATGTAGGGATGGATGTATGATTTTTGTTTTCAGCCGAAGCATCTTTCTTGTTGGTATCCTTTTTCATAATTTACACCATCCCTACATCCCCCTTCATTTTGAAGAAATGATTTTTCCACTTGTTCCACTTACTTTTTTGGCACATGCTCAGCCCCACCCTTTTCGCGGTGCAGAGCGGCAAGCGAGGGGCTGCACGCATTAGGGTTCACACACGCGTGGGTGGAAATTTATGCACTGCATATTTGTGACTTGAAGATTTGATCGCACACACACTCACAGTGCATTGTGGGGGAAGGGGGGATGGTCGTGACGTAGTTTGCAATTTTGCGCAATTCTTGCGTGAGAGACTAGCGGGCACATGCGCAAGTACAAAACTAAACCAACATTCATTATACAATATGCTTTGTTGTGAATTGTGAATGAAAGTTTTTTTCTTTAGGAGAGGTCTATTCCAGCTGAAGTGAAAGGTGGAGGCCAGGGGTATATAGCTAGTAGCGACTGGGCAGTAGAAGCCAGAAGTTTGTAGGGTTCAGGTTGTAGCTTGAGAGTGCAGTTGCAGTCCAACCCATTTGAACATATAGCACCATCAAACCATAATACAGAGGAGTAGACAGACAATGTAAGGAGTAGGCTTACAATAGGAGTTGTTACTGTAACAAAGGCTAGGTTGGAAGTGGGATAAGGGTGAAGGAATGTACAAGTCAGCAGTGGTGATAAGGGAAAACACTTCAGAGCCCCACCTGCCAAGCAACTCCCAGATAATCTTATAATGGCTGGGTATCCTTCCCACTGTCTGTGTTACATCTATAGTGCAGCCATATCAGCAATATTTTCCTTCAACTGGGCAACAGCTGCCTTTTTCTTACCAGGGTCAGCATGATAGGAGGTCCTAGCCACTTACCAGGGTCTGACTGACAAAGGGATCTACCTCTAGCCTTTATATTCTCGGAATTCTGCACATAATATCTACTGCCCTCCTTTTCAAGCGATAAGGCAAAAACTTGAACTTATCTCAAAGGATGGAGAAGCCCGGGTGGCAGTGACGACAGCAGAGCGGTGGTAGAGCGCAGTGGAGGGCCTTGCGATTGAAGAAACAGGGTGAGGTTCTTGTTATCAGCCACGACTGTCAGCAGAGAAGTGCTAGCTAGAGGCCAAGGGATGCAGGAAGGAGAGTTGTCAGGCACCCCTATTAAAATAGGCAATGAGGGTAATGCAGACAACTTGCCTTGAATCATAATTAACTGTGGCCCCAACTCCAGAAACCCAAGCCGCACAGACCTTGGAGTAAATTATACGTGATTTATAATATTCGTAATCGCAATAGCAAGACTTACTTTTGACCGTGGCGACTCCAGCACAATAGTAGCAGCTAGCTAAAGTACACACAATAGTAACTCCTTACCACAAGACGGATAGCTAGGCCCAAATTCGGGAGTAAACTCAGGCGGGCGAAAAACAAGCCGCCAAACGGAGCACACGGCTCGCGGTCCGCTCTCCCCTGCCTGGCGCATGCGCACGGCTCACTGGTGCTGAGTTAGCAGCAAATGGCGTTGTTCAGTGTCGACCACGGAAGAGCTCCATGATCTACCGTAGTGACTTGCGGCAAGAAAGAAACGATCGCTTGATGTCCGTGCACACCTCGGACGAGATTGGAGACGTTCAGTGAAAAAAATCATCGCTCGAACTGGTACTGGTAAGGAGAAAGCGGGTCTAAAGAAGAAGAAGAAGAAGAATACGATGACACGAAAATCAGAAATCGCGTATGAGCGGATTCTCGTGTCGAGAATTGCAGGGACATATGAAACTTCTGGGCATATGTATAGGTAGGTATGGACCCGTGAGAGATTTTTGGTGTGTTTTGAAGGCATAGCTAGCCATTCTCGCCGAGTTTCGAGGCGTTTTGTACGCGGATCACGTGAGATTTCACTCGTGTCATCCCTACATAGAACGTCTACCGACGCTCTGATGTTGAACATTGTTGGCGAGCGGGAGCGACCCAACTTGGGATTTGTCCGCGATGTTCGGGCTGCATAACGTGCCGTCAGCGCACAGCTTTCCTTTCGTGAAGCGAGACAGAGCTACCTGCCGCCGTTACATGCGTACTGTATTTTGCCAGAACGGCGAGCAGGTGAGCAGAAAGGTCCTTACCTTACGGTTTCAGCTCGTCTGTCGTTGTCCACGATGCAGCTGGCATGGCAGTAGGCTAGGCAGCGATCGATCGGGCTGCCCGACAACGCGTCGTGTGTTTGCTGGTTCACCAGGCAGCTGGCATGCAGCATTATGTGCACGAGCAATCCTAGCGTATTTGCAAGTTGCAGCTTGGAAACATGAAGATTGGGAAGAGGTACAGCCTCGGTCAGTCACCGAAGGTTGCAGCGCATGCCGTCGAATGGAGGAAAGTTCTCTCGCTGGCTAGATCGATCGGCGCATATCGCGAGGCACAAAAGTGTAAAATTTGGAATAATTTAGGATAAAAAGAAGCGCGTACAAAGCCGCGCATCATGCGCACGTACGACGTATACTAGTGGAAATTATTTCGGCGAGCGGAGCGAGAACTCAAGTATATACAACCATCATCATTAACTAGCGATAATATAGCTACGTGCCTACAGGTAAAATGTTTCAGCAAGTAACAGAAGTTATTATGGTGTTGACATAATATTAGGTTGAGTAAGGCAGCTTGCGCATACGTAGCTCGTGAAACTAGACCAGAAGAAAGTAGCAATGGAAAGGTGATGTGACCGCTCCCCCTCTCCATCTCTTAAAATCGTCACTGAAAAGACAAGCCTCTCTGTCGTGAGGACTTTCGACGGCCGGGCGTTCTGTCTGTCTGCCTCTTGGAACAGAAGCAGTATCGTTGCCGCCCGCTCAAGATCTCGTAATGGTCCCTGAAAAGACGAGCCTGTCTGTCGTGAGGACTTTCGACGGCCGGGCATATATAGATAGAAAATTCGACGGCCGGGCGTTCTGCCTGTCTACCTCTTGGACCAGAAGCAGTATCGTTGCGTTGCCCGCTCTCGATCTCGTAATCGCCCCTGAAAAAGACGAGCCTCTCTGTTGTGAGGACTTTCGACGGCCGGGCATATAATATAGATAGAAAATTCGAGCCGAAGACACGATTCTCTGTCTGTTTCTCTTCGATGAAGAACACTATCCTCCGCGGATGAATCCATCTCCTTCGAAGCCAACTGTACTGGACTACCTTCGAAGCCAGAATGGGAAAAAATTCCGCACAGTAATTCGAAGCGCGTAATATTAACGCATGCGCACTAAGACGACGGTGCGCGTCGAGCGCGTTAGCGTGAGGCAAGTCACGCTTAAGAATGTCAATTAGTCACGCTTAGGGAATGTCACCTTCCGTCATTCGTAACAAGTCTAGCTTCCGCCGTGCGCGCAGATTCGTAGGAAGTCTGGCTTCGCGCGCAATCAGTAGAGCGCGCGCACGAGCGGCCTCAGTCCGACCGTTTACGCATTGGCTGGCAGGCGCGAGGCAAAATATGCGCGTGCGCATTCCTAGTTATATATATATATATATATAGATAGAAGCCGAAGACACGACTAGGTGGGCTCCGCTCGCAGGGGGGGGGGTCGGGTAAGCGAGGGCCCCTCTCATTCTCATATCTACTCCTTCGCATCTTCGTCCCATACCCCTCCTGAGATTAGCTGTTTGGTAAGAGGTGGGTAAGCGGGAAACAAGAATCGTTGCGGGAAGGGGGAGGGGGGGAGTCCGCCGCCACAAGGACTTTAGAGGAGTAACGGTAAAAAATAGGTAAAAAGCGGGATGGGAGAATAATTGGGGTGAAGAGTGAGAAGGGGAAAGAGGGTGAGACGGCAGGAATTCAGGTGGGGTCGGAGTCAATGGGGTGTCGTGGGGTGGGAAAGACGGTTGACAAGCAGAGAGAATCGAGCACAGATCAAAGAGGTAGAGTAGATGTTCAATGAGAGGAGGGGGGGGAGGGTAAGAGGACAGGAGAAAGCACGGAGGGAAAGGAGATGGAAAAAAGGAGCTGGGAAGGGAAATAATAGTGCGACAGGTTTGGAGTTTGGAACGGTGACGGGCGGGGGGGGAAGGAAGAGGATAGGCAGGGGTAATGTGGTGGGGGGCTGTGAGGGGTGTAGGAAGGGAGGTGAACGGGGGGGCAAGGATGGTAAATTTACTGAAAATTGGCAGGAAAGTCAGGGCGCCAACAGAAGGTAGAATCGAGAACATCCGGCGGACGGGAGGGGGAAGCAGGAAACGCGAAGGACCGGAAGGAGACTGTTCAGAGGGAAGTGGGGAGAACAAAAAACCGGGTCGAGGAGTATTGGGAAGACTTGGGGGGGGGAGGTGAATAAGAGTGGAGAGAGGGTGGAAAAGTAGCAGGGCGGGGTGGTAAAGGAGAAGAACAGGAAGGGGGCAGAACTCAAGAGTAGAGGGGGCCGCCGGGTTGGATGGACGCAGGGGGGGTTGGGGGGGAATGTGGGAGGGACAATTAGGAGAATACCGGGAAAGGTGGGGACGGTAGGGATTACGGATGGGGGTCAGGAAAAGTGGTGGGGGGACGTGGTGAGCAGAATTTGGGATAGAGGGACGGTGGTGGGGAGAGGGGGGGCTTGACGGTCGTTAGTTGAACGGAGGCACCTGGGGGGTGGGGTTGAGGGAGAAATGTGAGGGGGCTCGCCAATTATGATGGACTTTGTTATGCTCGCATTGGGGGGGTGGGGGTGGGTTTGGCTCTTGAGGGGGGGGGGGGTATCCACAAAAATTGAGGGGGTGAGGGGGGGCGGGGATCATACTGCATGGTTTATGCAATCAGACATAGAGGGCTCGCGTTTGATGAGATCAGGTTCCCCAACAATGACAAAAGAGCCGGGAGAAGATTGACTTTTTCTTTTCTCTTGGCCCATGGCCGGCTGGCAGCTCTCCACGGGAGGCTGGAGGTGGTTCAACTGCTACTGCAGCGGTGTGACTACGAGGCAGACCCCAGGGACAGCAGCGGTGTTTACTCCTCTCATGGACGCTGCACACGCGGAGGCCATGTCAAGGTGCTGCAAAAGCCTCGTACAGCACAACAAGGTTTGTTCTATATACATCGCATACTGCGTTTTGTGTTGAAGATCTCCCTATGGTGAACCCTTTCGTATGTGCTATCGTTTCTCTCTCTTGGGGAAGAGTTAACTTATGAGGGCAGCGCTCAGCTTTAGAATGGCTATTAAGAGTGTGAGTGCTAACTTTGATTGTATAATGGACATGCACTGAGACTTACTAATGGTCAGGTGAGTGCATTTAGGCAACCGAGAATAGCGTACAAGTGATGAATCATGTGAAATACGCGTCAGTACAAAAGTGGCTGTGTACATTTCATTCATATAGTTTTCAACGCAGAAGCACCAAAAAGGAAGAAACAAGGGGTCATTACACACCAAATATGCACAAAGCCACATGACACCATCCCTATATCTTTGTTTTATTCTTCATAGGCAAAGTTTAACCGATTACACGCCGTTAATTTTATGCGCGCATGCGCGCGCGCGCCGTAAGGGTGGGGCCGTATTTCGCAACCGCGTACGTACACGTGGTCTTCGTGTTCCAGGCGTCCTAGCGAATAAACGGTGGAACTTTTATACACTCAACTCAGCGTTACTATGACGAAGAGTCCCTTGCAGCTGATGAGACAAAGATATAGGGATGGTGTCATGTGGCTTTGTGCATATTTGGTGTGTAATGACCCCTTGTTTCTTCCTTTTTGGTGCTTCAGGTCATCCCTATATCCTACTTTCATTTTCAAGAAATGATTTTTCCACTTGTTTCCACTATTTTTAACAGCTTATATGACAACACTGCATTTTCAGTCACTCTGATGTTCATGGGTATGTTGTAGAGATAACTGTTGAAAGCAGAAGCTAATGGACTGCTCTTACCTGAAGCAGTGTCTCCAACAAGGACGCGATTAGGTTGTGGCACATATGGTGGTGGTTTAATTGGGCAGGCTTCAGAAATCAGACTACAATGATAGCTGGGGGACAAAGAATGAAGGCGCCTGGCAAGGCACGCGTAACACGGCGCAGATTGGCAAGTTGCTCCTCGTGCAAATCAACAGCAAAACGCAAGCTAGCCACTTACAAATGCGCACACTGACTTACAGAAGGCACCGAAGGATGAGAGTAGTTTTCTCTGAAGGCATCCAGTCCTGGCTTAGTCTCGTTCGCGTGGACCAGGTTTACGAGACAAAATGCGCGCGCGCCGCATTGGAAACGCCCTCCTCGGCGCATGCGGCTCACTGATGCTGAGTTAGCAACAAATGGCGTTGTTCAATGACTACCGAGGAAGAGCTGAACGATCTACCGTAGTGACTTGCGGCAAGAAAGAAACGATCGCTTGATATGCATGCACACCTCCGGCAAATTCGGAGACGTTCTGTGAAAAAATCAACGCTTCAAGTGCTTCCGGTAAGGAGCTAGCGGGTCTGAAGAAGAAGAAGAAGAAGAAGATGAAGAATATGATGATGATGACACGAAAATCGTGAAATCGCGTATGAGCGAATTCTCGCGTGGACGACTGAAGGTGCGTATGAGGTCTTGGGGGACATGTATAGGTAGATATGGGCCCATAGACTATTGCTAGTATGTTTTGAAGGCCTAGGGAGTGATTCTCACCGAGATTTTAGTCGTTTTGTACGCGGATCACGTGAGATTTCACCCGTGTCGTCCCTATATAGCTAGAGAGTCTACCGACTCTCTGATATTATGAGTAATAGCTATAGTATCACGTCCACCTATGATGTTGTAATGAGCTTTCTCCTAGTGCAGCCTCTCCGACGATTGCTGTCGTTTGTCGTTGTCGTCGAGCTGTCGTTTGTCATGGTCTCGGCCGCCGCAGAGCAGAGCGCTGCTGTGTCGCCGCTACCAGAGCTTATAAGACGTGCAAAATCCAGCGGGCGGGTTCTACTTTCTCTGGCTATCTACTTTCTGGTAGCTACGTTTCACGCACCTACGAACTCCGCGGTAGAAGCCACCTCACGCTGATAGGCTGGCAGCGCTGTCCCTACAAACAATATGGCCGCATCGTTTCTTCGTCTTTGACGAGGTCGATGCCTAACAGCAGGGCGTCACCCGGTTGGAGTGCGTTACCCAACATTGCGAGGAACTCTGCTCGCGTCTCATTGGTGTAGTTTCCGAGACTCGACCCGAGAAAGGTGAGGAGGCGTCGGCCCCTTGTGAGTTTGCACAGCGAGTCATACCCACAATCACCAGTTCATCATCAGCCCCACCATCAAGACTCTCAATATTACAAATCAGGTAACTTGCAATGCTGTTATTATAACAGTGAAGACTGAAACTTTGTATAGGACATAGAGCCGGGTTTGCAACAAAGTGAAACCTTTTACTCCCTAACTTACGTGGTGCTGTTTAGTGGCTATGCTATATCAGCCGTTGGTACGGGACTTCTCTTCAACCACGTACCAACCTGGTATCTGTTCATGTTCTCCACACTCTCTCATACTCTGGGCTATATACGTACCTCCTGCATGCACTGGCCACCAATGGCTGCATGATGATACTGGCTCATGGACTCGCTGGTCTGAATCCCTAGTGTTCGCCTACTGCTGACGTCTCGTGATCATACACGGACAGTATGGTGACAGATGATTACACAACCTTACATAAGAGGATTGTATGACCTCAGACAATGAATGACATAAGGGTGAGTGTAATTGGATAATTGCATAAGCAATGAATAAACAAAAATGAGTATCAAGTAACATAGTTCAGTTCTCCTTATGGCTTCGACATCGAGTTGCCGGTCCACAGAGGGTAAGGTAGACTCAACATTCCGGGTAATCTTCTGCCTTCCGGTTTTCTTAGCCTGTCCAACCCGTACCTCATTAGACATCTCACTGTGGCAGGGTCTGTCCCGATAAGTGCTACAAACAGTGTTTCTCCATCCGGTTGGTCTACCTGTTGCACTTCGGCATTAGTTGGTGTGAGGGAAATGATTCCAAAATAATTATGGTCGGGCGGGTTTCCAGGCCTTCCCTTGTGCTGCGCTAGGAAAGTGCATCATTACATGATCATTCACTTTCAGCTTGGACAAATCTTGTTGTCATACTATTGTCGTTTCTGCTTTGTTTGGGTGGCTTTGATGTTGTCGCGGGCTAGGGCCCAGGCATCAGACAAATGAGCTACGAGCTCTGCTCCATAGTCCTGGAAATCCAATTG